AATTCTCTTGATTGGTAGCATTATACTGACTCTGCTGTGAGGCTCTGTGGGGGTCTGGATAACACCCAGCTTGGCATTAAGTAAAGTGCTCTCTGCGGGGGAGTCAGAAGACCTCTGTCCTGCTAACAACTTGCTAGGTGATATTGGAAAGAAATTCTTTCCCTAGTCACAGGATTTCTTTCAGTAAGTTAAGGGGGGTGGGGTGGGGTTTGATCTCTACCATTATTTCCGAGTAGGTCATTCTCTTGTGAAGATTTATGATCTTAACTTATTTAAAAAGTTTTTTAATGTTTATTTTTGAGAGAGAGAGACAAAGTGCGAGCGAGGGAGGGGCAGAGAGAGAGGGAGACACAGAATTTGAAGCAGGATCTAGGTTCTGAGCTGTCAGCACAGAGCCCTATGTGGGACTCAAACCCATGAACCATGAGATCATAACCTGAGCTGAAGTTGGATGCTTAACCAGCTGAGCCACCCAGCTGTCCCTATACTTTTATCTCTTCTGTTCTAGCTGCTTGAGAAGGAAAATTTTCAGATTAAGATGAAAATTCATGTTTAATTGGCTTGAATGGCAACTAGTTCTTTCTTTCCCATATTCTTCTATGTTTTTGTAAAGGTTTCTTTTTGTGTAGGCTTTTGGGATATTTTCTAAGGCCAAGAAAACATTTTGTAATAGAAGTCTAGGTAGAATTGAGCATATGAGCTTCCTGTGTGCTGAACATTCTATTTTGAATCAAATTAAAAAAAAAATAAAGGAATAGAGTTGATATGGGGAACATCTTGAAGTAAAAAGACATTTCCTTGATAGCTCAAATAAAATCCTGCAGTTCAATCTTTTCTCCCCACAGTTTTATTAAGATACAATTCCTATACCATAACATTCACTCTAAAAAGTGTATAATTCAATGGTTTTTAGAATATTTACAGAGTTGTACAACTTTCACAACTACCTAATCTCGGAATATTTTCCTCTCTCCAAAAAGAATCCTCATACCCATTACCAGTCACTCAGCATTTTCCTCTCAGTCCTGGAAATCATTAATCTACTTTCTGTCTTTATAGATTTTCTTACTTTGAACCTTTCATATAAATGGAATTATATAATGTGTGCTCTTTTGTAACTGGTTTCTTTCAGTTAGTGTAACATTTTTAAGGTTAATCCATGTTGCAGCATATATCACTACTTCATCTTTTTATTGCCAAATAAAATTCTATTGTATAATTATACCACATTTTGTTTGTCCACTCATCAGTTGATGGATAATCGGGTTATTTGTACTTTTTGGCTATTATGAATAATATTGATATGAACTTGCATGTACAGGCTTTTGTATGGATACATGTTTTGATTTATCTTGGATATATGCTTTGGGGTGATTTCTGGGTTATATGGTAACTCTGTGTTTAACCTATTTTTTAAATATTTTTATTTATTTCTAGGAGAGAGAGAGAGACAGCATGAGCAGGGGAGGGGCAGAGAGAGAGGGAGATACAGATTCTGAAACAGGCTCCAGGCTCTGAGCTGGCAGTCAGCACAGAGCCCGACGCGGGGCTCGAACCCACAAACCGCGAGATCATGACCTAAGTGAAAGTCGGATGCTTAACTGACTAAGCCACCCAGGCGCCCCTAACCTATTTCTTAAAAATATTTTTTAAAGTAGTCTTTTTTTAAGTTTTATTTATTTATTGAGAGAGAGAGAGAGAGAGCGAGAGAGCAAGAGAGAGAGAGAGAGAGAGACGAGAATCCCAAGCAGGTTCTGTGCTCTGCAGGGCTTGATCCCACGAACCTTGAGATCATAGTCTTAGCTGAAACCAAGAGTTGGACACTTAACTGACTGAGCTACCCAGGTACCCCTCTATGCTTAACCTTTTGAGGAAATGCTAGACGGAAACAGTGGCAATCCCAAAGTGGCAATCCCATTGTACATTTTTACCAGCAGTGTATGAGGGTTCTAGTTTCTCCACATCCTTGTCACCATTTGTTGTTATCTGCCTTTTTTATTTCAGTCATCCTAGTGGGTATGAAGTGGCATCGCACTGTAGTTTTGATTCCACAGTTGAATCTGTTCCTGATTGCCCTGTCCTACACCATGTCTACCCTCCAGCTAATTACTGTGGCTAGTGCAGGTTGATCATCTTAAGTGAATTAGAGTGAACTGCTGAAGCTGCAGGTGGGTGTACTTCACAAACCAGAGGGGAAATTTGGAGATAGATATTCGAAAGGAAGGAGAAATGGATGGCTGGGGGGCAATCGGCACATGTGCTTCTAAAGGATGGGTTTGCTTGTTTGGTGACAGGAATTGTCCTGTACATAAGTATTCAGACAACATTAAATTTACTAAAGGTAGTAACTGTACTGTTATTAGAATATCCCTATATTTAGGAAATACGCACTGAAGTACTTAGGGGCAAATGGCCATAATATCTGTAACTTACCTTAAATGGTTAAAAAAATCATCTTTACATATGGATTATACATATATATATCATAAATTTGTATGTGCACATATACATTTATTTGTATATAGGAATAATCATAAGTTTATATATGTGTGTTTCATATGTATGTATATGTATATATATGGCAGAAAGAGAAATAGAGAGGGGAGAAAGATAAAGAAGTGGGGTAAAATGCTCACCATAGTGGAATTTGGGTAAAGATGTATGGGTGTACTTTATACTCTACACATGGAAATTATTTCTAAATAAAAAGTTGAAAAAAGCACAACCAGGTTACCACTTTATTTTGCTCATGATTCTGTGGCTCAGGAAGGGCTGGCCTGGGCAGCTCTTGCTTAGGGTCTCTCATGCAGCTGCAGTCAGATGTCAGCAGGGACGGTCCTCATCTGAAGGCTCAACAGAGTTGGGTGCTCAAGATGTCTCCGATGGCCGGCCATTGATGCTGGCAGTCTGCTAGGAGCTAGCTCTATCCTTGCCTCGCATGCTTACACGTGCCCTTACTAGCATGGTGGTCTTCGGGTAGCCAGACTTCTTACTTTGTTTCTCCCAGAGTGAGATCTCAAGAGAGGAGGTAGAAGCTGCATGGCCTCTTCTGACCCAGCCTTGGAAGTGATACAGCATCTCTTCTACTGTGTTCTAACAGTTCCAAGCGAGTCACTAATTAGTGTCCAAAAACTTGCAGTCATGTTCCCAAACAGCGATAAGTGCTTATTGCATGCCAGGCACTGTTTTGTGTGCTTTATATGTATCCGTTCATTTGATCCTTACCAAAACAAAACAAAACAAATGCCCTTATGGTAGGTAGCCTTACTGTCCTTAGAGAGGAGAGAACTTGGTGCACAGAGGTTTGCTTCCCAACATCACACCATTAGTAGAAGAGCTAGGATTTGGATCCAGACAGTCTGGCCCCAGAGCCCGTGGCCTTATCTACTACCCTATACTACTTCTGCCTAGAGCTGTGATTCCTGTTACATTTGGTTAAACTACCATACACATCGATAATCACTTCTCATTCACAATCACTGGCATGTGAACTTCCCCAGTATGTTCAAGATCATGTGACAATTCTTCTCTTCTTAGCTCTGACTTTTTCACATACAGTTTCCTTTCCCTGGAATACTTTTCTTCTTCTTCTTCTTCTTCTTCTTCTTCTTCTTCTTCTTCTTCTTCTTCTTCTTTCTTAAGTAGTTTATTGTCAAGTTGGTTTCCATATAGTGCTCATACAGTGCTCATCCCAATAAGTGTCCTTTTCCATGCCCATCACCCCCCATTCCCTCCCTCTCACCCCCATCTGCCCTCAGTTTGTTCTCAGCATTCAAAAGTCTCATGTTTTGCCTCCCTCCCTCTCCCCAACTGTTTCCCCTTCTTCTCCCCCATGGGCCTCTGTTAAGTTCCTCCTAATCCATCTACACGTGCAAACATGTGGTATCTGTCCTTCTCTGCCTGACTTATTTCGCTCAGCATAACACCCTCAAGTTCCATCCACCTTGCTACAAATGGCCAGATTTCATTCTTTCTCATTGCCATGTAGTGGAATACTTTTCTTCTAATGATTCACCTGTTTCTATTATTTATTCTTCAGGTCTTATAAGGAGCCTTCCTTGACCACCGAACTCTGGGGTGAGTGCTTCTGCTATGGGCACAAATGCTGCATGGTGCTAAATAGCTATAGCCCTTATCATTATGGCTTATAATTTGCCTGTTGTCCTGGCTGTCTCCCCCATTGGACTCTTAAATTCCTTGAGGGCAGGGACACTGTTTTGTTTAGGAAAGGATGTCTAGCCTTAAGCACAGTACCTAATATGTAGTGTGAACATAATTACAAACTAACCTCTCACTTATATTCCTCTATACAATTATGACATATGTATCACACATATGTGTCACCAGGTGAATATAGTCACCAGGACAGTCTCCTGACACATACAAAACCTGTCCCATTCACTCTCGTCCATGCACCCTCCATCACCGTGACTTATTCTCCACGCTCAGTGTCTGTCACACAACCTCACCACTGCAACCCATCCCACACACAGTTATTGTGACACAGCTCTGATCCTCAATCACTGTCACGCACTGGTTTTCACACAATCACAATCACCATCTGTACTCTTAAAACAGGATATTTACTCTCCTACAAAAATTGGGTTAAGATGAAAACAGCTCTATTTCTCACACACGCCTTCACATACTGTATTTTTTTCATCCACATAATCCCTGACAATCCCTGACATTACACAGTTATGGTCACACACTGCAGTCTTCTCACTTCCACTTGACACCTACTCCGACACACACACGCATACTCACTCACTCACTCACGAACTCACTCACTGACTCACTCACTCACTCTCTCACGCACTCAGTCCCAGGATCGCAGGGGCGGGTCGGCGAGGGTCTGAGCCGCCGGGGGTCAGCGCCGGAATCCCAGCCCCGGCCAGTGCGGCCCCGCCCCGCCCCGCCCCGCCCCGCCCCGCCCCCTCATGCATATGCAGCACCTCAGCCTAGCGGCCCGGCCCCCAGACGGCCATTTGTAGCGGCGCTGGAGGCAGCGTTCGGCAGGCGCTGCGGAGACGTGTGGAGGAGCGCGCCCCCCGGCCGCTGCCGCCCCTGGCCCCCGCGGTCCTCCCGCTCCTCCGCGCCTCGGGTGGGAACCCGGCCAACCCGGGCGCCGCGCTGCCGCCCGGAGCGGCCCTCCCGGCAGCTCCCGGCGCCCGGGACCCCCGCCCGCCGCTCGCCCGCAGCCCGCCGGCCGCACACGTCCCCGGAGCCGGGCCTAGGGCGGGCGGCGGCTCGGCGTGGCCGGGCGGGCTCCGCGGCGTCCCCATGGCCGCGGCCGGCTGGCGGGACGGCTCCGGCCAGGAGAAGTACCGGCTCGTGGTGGTCGGCGGAGGCGGCGTGGGCAAGTCGGCGCTCACCATCCAGTTCATCCAGGTACCTGGAGCGGGCCTGCCGGGGGCGCCGGGGTGGCGGCGGGCGGGGGCTCGCGCTACCTGTGGCGGGGCTGCTGCCGCGACCCCGCCCCGGAGGCGCCGCGCGGGCCGGGGGCGGGCGGGCAGGCGGGGGGTGAGGGCCCGGCTCTACCCTCCTGCCCTGCGGCCGTGGCGCCGCGCTCCTGTCTGCCCGGCGCCCTGCTCGGCGTCCCGGGAGTCGGGCTTCTCAGGAATGTGTCCGGGAGGGCGGAGCTGGCAGGGTGGGAAGCGTGGATCCACCTTATCGCTCCGGCCGGGGCCGAGCCCTCCGGGGAGGCTGCGCCGCCGCGCCCGGCTTCCTGCCCCGCGGCCCGGGCTCCGGGCGTCGGGCGTGGGGCTTGCAGCCTCCGGAGCTGGGCTTCCAGCCGCCCCGGCCGCCTCCTGCACCGTCGGTTGCGATCGCGGTGGCGAGTTGGCCGCGGCTCCGCGTGGTCTGCGGCTTCCTCTGCGCACGCTGAGCCGGAGCTGCCCGCTCGAGCTGTGTGTTTCTCTTTGTGTTTGTGCTTTTCTTTTAAGTAATCTCTTAGGTAATGTGTCCGGGTGGGAGGTGTGTGAGAATGCCCGAGGGAAATGGTGGCTTCGAGGAAGTTGGGAATGTTCTCCGATAGGATAGGGGGGGAGACCATTTCCTAGGAATTTCTGGTGCCTTCCTGCTTCTCGCTTTGCCAAGGTGAAGTTTGGGATGGGCCATGCTCGGAGATGACCGACCGGGGCGTGCCTGCCGTATCTGTTCCAACTACCCACCCCCCTACCCCCAGACCTCTTGATGCTAGAGGCCACAGTCAGGGCTTGTGGTAAAGAAAAGAGCGATGGAATTCTTCAGTTTTAGGATTTGCTCTGGTTAAGAGGCTTGAGCGATCTTTTTCGGGGTTTTAAAAATGAGAAACCCAGATGTCTCTTCGCTTTTGTCAACCTAAAAGGTGTGGCATACGCTCTGAGAGAACGAAGGTACCCCGTTATAACAGGTAACAAAAGATCTTCTTTCACAGGTATACAAGAGTACTGCTAAGATGCTTTGGTGAAGAATTAATTTATGGTTTCCGTTTCATTCATTTGTTATCAACTGGGATACTTGAATGGCGTATTTCATTTCACTTCACGTTTATGGAAACATTAAAATACAGAGTACTGTTAAATGTGATTGTTACTTTCACGTTGAATAAATGAGCAATAATTTGCTGTTATAATATTTCAAGGGCTTAAAAACTGCTGCTGAAACCTTTGTATCCAGGAAGAGAAGATGTTTATGTAATGAGCATTTACAGTATGCTCATTAGTGGGTTAAAAAAAAATCACACTTTGTAAGAGGTGAGATTGGTTTAAGTTTAGCAGGCTGCAGAATCAGGGATGTGTTAGCATGTTGTTATTTCCCTAGGGCCTAGAGAGAGAGAGACTTTAACTGATGGCAAAGCAAAAACAATTTATAGCTAAACCTTTCTTTGGGGACTGTAGTTGGGGGGCTGGTGGTGGTGATGATGAGTGAGAGAATAATACTGGGTTCCAGTATTAGTAAAGTGTCACCTGAAAGGTTTAAACCACACATACTTAGGTTTTTTTTTTTTGTGGGGAAGGACCATCTGAATATATTTGAATCTTGTTATTTAATTAAGGTACTGGAACCTTTTGTTTTTGGGCAATGGTTTTAGAAATTGTTAAGATGACAGTAATTGCTCTTTTTAAAATGATTTTCTAAAATTCATTTGTTAAAGAAATACCTCCTTCATGAACAGTGCTGTACTAGATGATATAGAAGAAGTAAGAGAAGGTGTGCATGCATGTGAAAGAGACATTTATAATCATAGAGAAAAAGTGAGCTTTGAGTCAACTGAAGTGTCTGTCTTATTCTGTCATTTATTGGTTGTGAGAACACTGCCAGAATATTCAGCTTCTCTGAGCCTCAATTGTCAGTAAAACAGGTGGGCTCACACATTGTTTATAATCCTGTAAATTATGGGAATATTGTTAGCACTGTATCCGTCACATAATATGTGCTCACTTAATGACTGCTGTTAGTATTAAGTGTCTGTACAGTTCTGTAACACATTTAAATGCAAAGAGAACTCAGAATTGGGTAAAAGTTTGTGAAGAGTTGATAAAAGTGCTATGTAGGCTTGGTGGTAGGGAGAGTGGACGTATCTTCTGTGAGCTTGGGGGAGTTATATGCTAGTTGGGAGAGAGAAGACAGGCAAGGAGGGGAGTGGGAGAGGCAGATAAGTTGGAGCCAGTGAAAGTGGGGAGTATAGGTTCTGCATCTGCAGAGACTTTCTGGAGTGGTAGGAGCCAGACCACTTCCATGGAGTCCCAATTCTTTCACTTGCTGCATGTGTAATCTTAGATAAATTACTTAACTTCTTGGTATCTCAATTTTCCTCATCTGTAATCTGGGGAAATACAAAGTACCAGATACTGTTGTGAAAATTAGATTTAACATATGTCAAGGGCTTAAAACAATGCCTAGTGTATAATAAATCTACAGATGTTATTGTTGTTATAGTAATCTTATATTATGGAGCTAAGGTGACTATTTATGATCTACACTTAATAGAGCCACTATTTATTCTCTGACTCTTGGGAAATTAAAATTCATTCTGCTGTGATTGTCTAGCAGTAGTAATTGGAGAGGAGATGGAAGAAGGATAATAATCTTAACGAGTGGAAGTCAGTTTTCTTTGTAGATCAGGATGACACAAATTGGTTTTATTTATTTTTTAAGTCTTCTGAAATATCCTTTTTACACCGTTCAGTATATATTTTTCTATTATATAATAGAGCAGAAAAAATAATATAAATTGGGGAATGGAGAATTTAAAAACACTTTTGTTTTTAGCCTTGACTTTTTGTAACCTTAGATATACTTGTGACTTTCTATGCATATGAAGAGCTGCAAAAAAGGAAATTTAGGCAGTAATTACTTAAGGGGCCTTTTCTCCTTAAAAATGACCTTAGCAGATCATAAAGTGTATAAAAATGTAAAGTATGTTTGTTTCTGTTGTTCATAGTTTTTTGAAAAATGTTTTAAGTTCTGTTGGTAAATGGAATACCTAAAAGATGAGTAAAATTGTAGTTAGGAAGTGATCTTAGCATTGTACAAAGGGACATGGAGAGAATTTTGCTTATCTGAATTCTAGGTTTCCCTACTCAGGTGGGGAATTTCTTAATCTCTTAATCTTTTCAAGGCTTTAGTTTTTTTTTTTTTTTTTTCTTCCCAGAACTATTGTTTGGGTGAACAAATCTCTGCACCTTTGAAATTCTAGGTTCTTTCTTATTTAATCAGCTGGGTGTCTTAGTCAAGTTTCTTGGGTTATCTAGGTCTCATTTTCCCTGTATGAAAAGGGAAATTAAATAGTACTTGAGATTTTTTGGAATAAATACAATATTACATGCAAATTACTCAGCAGAGTGCCATCTACAGAATAAGTTAATAATTGTTACCTGGTTTTATTTGCTGCTATTATGTCTGTATCTAGTTCTTCCAAAACAATCTTGACATGTTATCTGGTCCTTTAAATCTTCAGTACCCCCTGCCTCCCACCCCAACTTCAAACTCCCCTCTTCACTTTGTGTGGTATCTAGGTGATGAATATTGATCACGTTTTGAGTTGGGGAAACTTGTTTATCAGTTGCAAGTTGATTTTAGGAAAGGATGGAGTAATCATTGGTTTTGGGGTTAATGCTTTACCTGCTAACTCTGAGAAGAGACCACACATGTTTTATAAAATTAAAGAGAGGAATTTCCTGGTTTCTATTCTTTGTTTAGCATCCTCACTTTCTCTTGAGCAGTCTGTCAGATTTTGATCTGTGTAGGGCGTAGCTGATTCCTCACGCATTGGGTTTTAGTCTTACAACGTGTTAGTCTGCACCTGACTCAGACATTACTTTTTACACAGAGTTTGTCTTTTGTTGAATGCTTTTTCATTGCCTTTTCCTGGGGCAGAGATCCTAGAAGAGATTTCAAGACTCCTGTATTTATGTTATAGTTAATTATTCCATGTGTGAAGGTTGTGAGTTTAGATTCCAGAATTGCTGTTCCATTGGAATGTCTGGAAGACACTCTCTGCAATTAAAATAATTTGTGTCTGTGAGTTTGAAACTATATACTGTAGACTTGTTTTTTGTGTGCAAATTATTGTATTCAGAGTAATTTACAAATGAATTCTTAGCATTGAAAAATAAGGCACCTTTCCTGATGGTGGTACATACTAGAGAATGCCTCATTTTGGTAACACCTGAAATGGATATACATAGAAATAGTAGGCACTCAAGGGAGAAGATGATCACTTTTGACAGAGGAGAAGCAGAAGAAAATTCTAACCTAGGTTCTCTTAGAACGCATTCTTATTCATTCTAACACGTGTGTCTCCTTATTGGGATGGGGGAGTTGCAAGAGTTAGTGGAGATGCTTCTGTTGAGTGTCAAGAATCCTGTTTTCCCTTGGTAGAATACCATTAAAAGGCAAAGTGATGACAGACGGCTGCCTGCTGGAATGGGATTTTTAATTCACCTGTGTTGCTGAAATATGGGTCTTTCCCAAGCTTTGAAATGAAAGTAGTCTTTAAGGGGCGCCTGGGTGTCTCAATTGGTTGGGCATTGGGCTCTTGATTTTGGCTTGTGTCATGATCCTACGTTTCGTGGGTTCAAGACCTGCGTCAGGCTCTACACTGACAGTGTGGAGCCTGCTTGGGATTCTCTTCTCTCTCGCGCTCTCCCTCTCTGCCCCTCCTGCACTCTCTCTCAAAATAAATTAAAAAAAAAAAAAAAAGAAAGAAGTCTTTAGTTAGGTTAGGAAAATAAATTGGTAACTTTAAAAAGGGGGGAAGGGGTGGGGAAAGAGACTTTCTTAAAGCAGTATTGTTTTTATTTTTAAGTTTCCTTTTTAAAAAAAGTTTATTTTGAGATAAGACTCAAGAGCATGGGTAGGGGAGGGGTAGAGAGAGAATCCCAAGCAGGCCCCACTGATATTGC